TGAGCCCCCTCTCCCCTCTAACACACAACACGCATCCACACCTCCACACCTCGATCCATCAAGCACCGTGTGTGCTGAAGTAGTGGTCCTCGCACACGATGAGCTGGTGGATGAGAGGCAGGTACGGCCCAACTGAGGGGGGGAAGGCCTCACCGCCCTCCGCCTGGTCATCGGCACCTGCTGCTGCGTCCTACATAAACACACACACACAGAAAGACTTAGAGAGACATGTCGTTGCGATCATTTGGGCTCACCCCGGCTTGCTGCAGGTATCGATACGCAGCCAAGAAGGCGTCGAGACCCACCTCCTACACACGCGCACAGAGAGAGAGACATACACAGAATACTCAGACAGATGCAAAGACACCACACACCACACCACACCGAACGCATAAGCGACGCTTGCCTGTTCCAAGTACATCTTGAGGCTCTCAATCCTGACCCCCATGGTGTCCTGCTCTGATGCTGCCACGCCCAAAGACGCCAACTCGCGGCCCAGATGAGACATCAGATGGCCCTCACGGCCCCTCTCGGCCTCTGACGCGCCCTGTCGGTCGTGTCATGGCACACGAATGGATGGATGGATCTGTCTGTGTGTGTGTGTTGGGAGGGGAGGGAGGAGGACATCTACCTCTGGTGGCTGCTCCTGTGCTGCTGCTGCTGCTGCTGGCTCGGGAGGCTCGGAAGGTGCCTCTCCCGAGCGCAAGCCGTCGCTGAGATGAGACACCGACCACCACATTGCCCATGGCTCATCCCTCATCCATCCACTTACCGCAGTGTGGCGATCAGCAGCTCCTCGTCTTGATCGGTCCCCTCCTCCTCACCCCCCACAGCCACAGCCACATCCACCTCCCCCTCTACACACAGCCATAGGTCATGTGTGTGACCATTCATTCTCTCCCTGACTGACCTTCGTCAATGGTGATGGCCCGTCTGCGGGGCTGTACCACCCCCATCCCCACCGAGACCCCCTCTTCCTCTCTCGTGGTGGTGGTGGTGCTGCTGCCGGCCTCTGCTGACACGGATCTCGCCATACCCACTGGGTGCACCTGCAAGCAACCATCCAAGCAAAACGACAGAAATCCCCAGGGAGAGGCACCCTCAATGACGCACCTGTCGATGCACACGAAAGGACGGTGGGGGCAGGGCGGGGTGGCCACCGTCACCTTCTCCCGCTGCTGGTGGTGCTGGTATTATTGGCGCTGCTGGGGGTGACGGGGGCGGTCTCGGAGGCAGGGACGGCGCCGCTGCTGATGAAGGTGTCTTCACCTCTACACCCTCCCCCCCTCCGTCCTGCTGCTGCTGTTGCTCTTTGGCTTTGAGCCTCCGTTGCTGGGCCAGAAAGTCCCTGAGTCCCTGCCTGTGCTCGTCCCTCTCGGCCTTCCTGTCTGGCCGGGGGGAGGGAGTGGATGGGGCGGGAGAGGGGGCCTCCTGTGTGACAACAACAACAACAACAAGAATGTGACAAAGAGTGTGGGAGAAGGAGAGAGACAGGGAGACGGACATGTTAGGCGGGTACGGACCTGTTTGTGGTGGACCTTGGGGGCGGTCTCTCTGATGTGCGCCTCGATCTTCTGCCGCCGCGCCTCCGCTACGCGGATCTTCTCCTACACATACACATACACAAACGCGCCTCGTCTCTCCCTCTCTCTCTCTCTCTCTCTCTCTGTCTCTGTCTCTCTCTGTGTGTGTGCGTGTGTTACGTGGTGGTATTCCCTTCTGGCTTCCTCCAGCTCCGTCCACCGCCTCTTCTCTTCCTGCCGCTTCTTATCCCTCTCCCTCACACCATCCCTCCCACCCGCACCCTCTCTCGACGGCTGCTCGTCTGGAGCTGCACAGCGGTAGGGATTGACGCACACGTCAGAAAATCTCTCCATCGCCATTTTCAAGTGTAATCAGAGAGAAAGTACCTGACCTGCCGGGGGTGTGGAGGGCTTGTTCTGCACATCGCCCTGCCCCTGGTCTCCGCCATGTCTGTCCTCGAGGACGCGGCGCTTGACGCTATCGGCGATGGCCATCCTGTCGCGAAACTACACACACACACACACGCACACACACACACAGAGAGAGAGAGAGAGAGAGATTTGGCCGAAGTCTTTTCTTGCCTATAAGTCTATAAGTAAAAACCTATAAGTGCACGGGCTTGCTGACCTCTTGCACCAGAAACGGGTCTGCTGACGGCCCACCACCGGCAGCAGCAGCAGCGGCAGCAGCCGGCGGCTTCTGCTGCTGCTGCTGCGAAGGCGGCACCACCGCCCACCCACCACCCCCTCTCGGCCCACCACCTCCCCCACCACCGCCAGCCACCTTTCTGTCTCTCTCTTGGTGCCTGGCCGGTACATGTCTCCTCGCTTCAGGCCTGTTCTGCGCGCCACCAATGCCGGGCGATGGATCGCGTGATACTCTGCGGTCTCTGCTTTCTGATCGTGCCCTCTGTGGTGCTGGGGGTGGTGGTGGGACAGCTGCTGCTGCTGCTGCTGCTGCTGCAGGGGGGGAGGGAGAGGGGGCGGGGGAAGGGGAGGGTCTTTCTCTTTTGTCGTTTTTCTGCTCTCTCTGGGGGCTTTCTGGTGCTTGAGGCTTCTGTTGCGGTTGTAGCGGCGCCTGTCTGCCCTCCTCCTCTTCCAGGAAGGTCTTGATCTGCTGCTGGATGACCCCCCGGTTCAATATCGCCTATCACCACACACAACACACAAAACAAGCCGCCACAACTTATCCCATTGAGATGACGTTCTCTGGTCAATGAGAAATCCTAAGCGAAGAGACCTGAATTGACGGCCTTTTCGCGGGGTCTTTCTGCAGCATGTCGTCGACGAGCTGCCGTATGTCAGGCGAGAATGACTGTGAGATGGGCGGGTAGTGGCCCTTGAGGATCTTCATGACGAGGCCCCGCATGGAGTCGGCGTCGAAGGCGTGGCGGAGGGTGCAGCACTCGTAGAGCACACAGCCCAGACTGCGGGAAGCGAAGGAGAGAGAGAGAAAGGGATACATGTATCCATGTCTCTCTTCGTGTGTGTGTGTGTGTGTATGTCTATACCTCCTGAGGGACATCACATACACACACGGAGACAGACAGACAGACAGACAGACAGAGAACAGAGAGACATTGCCAACAATCCCTCTCTCTCTCTCTCTCTCTCTCTCTCCCTCACCAGATGTCGCTCTTATAAGAGTAAGGCCTCTCCTGACATATCTCCGGCGACAAGTAATAAGGCGTCCCAATCGCCGTTCTCGCGTAGTCCTGCGTGTGCTGCAACACTCGCGCTATCCCAAAATCTCCCAGCTTGATCCGCTCGGCGCCGGGGCCCCTCCCGCCCTTGCCTGTCAGAAAAATGTTCTGCGACGCAGGAGCCGCAGGACATAGGACATATTTCGGCTTTGGTCTCGTTAAAGGCATCACCCGGCCTTCACCTGTGATTTGAGGTCTCGGTGAAGGATGTGACGCTCGTGAACTGCATGGATGGGGGAAAAGTGTTTGTTTGTGGGAAGAAGGGTGAAGATTGTTACTGACCGTGTTTGAGTGCGAGGCACAGCTGTGTGAACCAGCGAATGATGGTGCGTTCGGGGAAGGGGCGGTTCGTCTGCCTCTGGGCGGAGATCTTCTTGTAGAGGTCCCCTCCTGCACACACACGCACACACACACACACACACACACAGAGAGAGAGAGAGAGAGGCGAGGCCTTTCTTAACACCGATCCCCTCCCCTCCCGCCATCTCATCTCCTGACCTTCGCAGTAGTCCATCACAATGCACAGCTGGTCGTTCTCAATGAAGCTCTCTCTATACGTCACGACATAAGGGTGCCGCAGCGAGCTCATCACCTTGACCTCATTCACGGCGTCCTTCTTTTGCTTGGCCTCCATCCGCGATATGTCGATGGTCTTGACGATCAGGGAGCGGCCATCCCTGTCAGTCACCAGCACGGCTGACCCGAAGGAGCCCTTGCCCACCACACGAACACGCTTGTATTTGTGCATCTTCAAGTTTGAAGTTGAATTTCTGGGGGCGAGATGGGGGCCTCCGCGTCTCGGTGAGACAGTGACGGCGTCGAACGATTCCTGATTCGGTGGGAGGTTTGTGAGGGCTGCTGAATTGCAGATGTATCCGCTCCGCGAAATCCCTGCTGCGGGCCAGGCCCTGGCTGGCGCGGAGAAGGACGATGGCAGCATTCGTGTGCAGGTACGCTTCCCATCCACACATATGCAGATATCTGCAGACATAAGCGCCGCCCTTTCTGTGTGTCAGCTGGGCCGCAGAATCACGCTGCTGCACCCGCCGACCCAGTGGCAGCCCGACCCCGAGGGCGCCAAAGCGCCAAACACCCTTCTCGAGCTGCAGTGGGCCTACGGCTACAACGGCTCCCTGCTCAAGTCGCTCCACTGGATCAACTCCCACGAGTATGTCTACGCCACGGCGGCACTGTGCGTGGTGCAGAATATCCCTCTCAACGTGCAGCGGTTTTTTTCTGGGCATGATGAGGATGTCACTTGTGTGACGTACAATGTGGCTAGGGGGCTGTGTGCGTCGGGGCAGAGAGACCCCAAGGGACCGGGGGGGCCTTATGTGTGCGTGTGGAGCCCGGGTGAGGATCTGATTGACGTGGCGATTGCGGAGCTGCATTTTCACCAGAGAGAGGTGACAGCCGTGTGCTTCTCTGCTGATGGCAAGTGAGCTGCGTCGGACTTGGAGCACTGAGAGAGAGTGCACCCCTCTATGCGATCGATCTCTCTCTCTCTCTCTCTCTGTGTGTGTGTGTGTGTGTGTGTGTGTGTGTGGTCGCTTCTCCCAAGGTATATATACTCCTTCGGCCGAGACGACCATCACCTCCTCGCCGTCTGGAGGACCCCCTCCCTCGCCGAGCGGCCCATCCCGAAATACGGCGGCCCCAGTCAGCCGTTGAAGCCCTTGCGCGTGACCACGCCCATCTACTCGGTCGGCACGGGCAAGGCCCCCACCTTTGGGGCGATGACGGCTTTTCGCGCTGGGGGTACCGCAATGGGCACCATTGACACGGAGAAGAGGCCTGAGGGGGAGTTTGTGGGGTTTTCCAAGGTGAGAGCAGGCTCTTTGCTCACCTGCAATGGAAAGAAAACCGCTTTGTGTGTTCTTTGTGTGTGGGGGGGTGGGGGGTGGGGGGCGTGTGTATGCTTGGGTGGTCAGGAGTTTGTGCGGTTTTGGGTGCATCGCGCGGAGGGCCAGGGGCTGGGGGTGGGCCGGCACATACTCACCAACAACCTGGCTGTATACGGCAAGTGAGCAGATACATCGACCCCTCTCTCTGTGTGTGTCGCTGTGTCTGTCATCCATCCATCCATCCATTCATCAGGCACCCCACCCCCCGTCGTATGGTCGATGTGGCGTCCGTGTCCTTGTCCACCGAGCGCAAGAGCTGGCTCACAGCCGAGAACGGATACCTCTACAGCTTCATCGGCAACACCTGCAAACTCGCCGTCAACATCGCCAAAAGGACACACGGCAAGACGCCGCCACTCGGGTGAGTGAAAGCTTTTGGACCTCTTTCTCTGTCATCTATCTGTGTGTGTATGGTGTATGGTTGTGGGTGTGGGCATTCTTGTGTGTGTGCATTGGGTGTGCAGGGGTGTGTGTGAGCTGCCGTTGGGCGGCTTCCTGGCTGTAAGTAAGACAGAGACAGAGAGAGAGAGGGAATACTGGCATTGTCTCATTGCCTCCGTGTGTCTGTGCCTTTGGTAGGCTGACTTTGCGGGTGTGTTATACAGCCGCTCGTGTCTCGCCTCACCCTTGGCTGTGTTCACTCCTGACCAATGGGCGGGAGACGCCGCAAGGCAACAAACCTCCTCCCCCCCACCAGCCACCGACCACCACCCACACCCACATCTCTCTCTCTGTCTGTGTGTGTGCAGGTGGTTCCAGAAACCCCCGGTCCTCCGCATAGCGAGCCTGGCCTCCAACCACCGCTTCGACGCCCAGCTCACGCAGAAGATGAAGGCCGGGGAGAGGGAGAGGGAGAGGGAGAGCATCAGCCTTCTCGTCAGTCAGCCCCATCACACCCCACCCCACCCCTCTAGAATGGAAGTCTCTGCAAATAGGCATTTGTGTGTTGGGTGTAGGTAGCGGCCGGCACGACGACGAATCACCTGTTTGTACTGTCGCTGACGCTGGAGAGGGATTACAGGGGGGAGCGGGTGGTTGTGCCGATGGCTTCTACCACTAGCACCATAAGAGAGGACGTCAAGCGGCTCGCTTCGGCGACTTGGAAGCCTGTAAGAGAACCCTACAAACACATAGGAGAAAAAAGCCATTTGTGGAGCTTTTCCTTTACGGACTCTCTCTCTGTCTCTCTCTCTGTGTGTGTGTGTGTGTGTGTATCTGTGGTTCCACGTAGTCTCTGTTGTATGCCTTTCAAGCGGGCCACATGGGCGAGGTATGGGGGCTGGCGCACCACCCGTCGCTGCAGCTCGCCGTTACCGGCGGAGGCACCACCGTCCGGTTTGTCATCCAGCGACCAACACCTTCTGTCTCTGGGACGATTTGTCTCCCTCCTTCTATGTGTTTCTTGACACGCAATCGTCAGGTTTTGGGATGTAGCCAAGGGCCGGCCGCTGTTCGGCCAAGTGCTGCGTGTGGAGCATCCTGTTGGTACGCATCCACACACACACACACACAGACAGACAGAGAGAGAGAAAGGGATATATTGTGTGTGCAGGGAGCCTCTCGTTCGCGCCAAGTGGTCACTTTTTGGCTGCTGGTCTGGACGGGGGCATGCTGCGCGTGTGGGCCTTTCCGAAACTGGAGCCCGTTTATAACAACTTTGTCGATAGCAGGCAAGACACAGCCCCTTCGTGTGGGTATCTCGCTATGTGTGTGTGTCTCCTTGGCTCAGGTACAGGGAGCGCGTGTACTTCGTCCAGTGGTCCGACAAGGGCGACTACCTCGCGGCATGCTGCGGGGACCAGCGCATCTACCTCTTCACGGCGAAGGCAGACAGCTCCACCTACTTCAAGGCAAGCACCCCCCCCCCCCCTCCACACACACACACACACACACAGAGAGAGAGAGAGAGATGCGTGTGTGTTTGTGTGGATGGGTCAGCTTGCGCTGCACCGTGTGTTGGTCGGCAACAGCAGCAGCATCCTCTGCTGCATGTTCAGCAAGGACGGCAAGTACCTCATCAGCAACAGGCATGTACAGTACTTGACCCTCATTGGTCTTCGAGTCTCATGCCTCTCTGCGCTCCTGCAGCAAGGACGCCCAGATCCTGTGCTGGGCCACCCTCACCGGCCACCGCGAGACACGCATGGGCGCCCTACGCAACCTCACCTACCAGCTGCCTTGGTCACCTTATACACACACGCACACTCACAAACACACACAATGACTTTTCTCTTTGCTCCAGGGTCAACATCTTCGGGTGGCCGGTGATCGGTCTGTGGGGCGACCCCTTGTACGACTGCAGCGACATCGACAGCTGCTGCTCTGACCACAGCGGCAAGCTGATCGTCATGGGCGACGACTACGGCCGGATCAAGCTCTTCAGGTCGGTGCCCTGCGCATTTGTTCGTTCGGATCATTGTGGCCGCGTGGGTGTTTGTGTTTGTGTTTGTGTTTGAAGGTTTCCCACCCCGTACCTCTCCCCCGATTGTCGTGTGTACGGTGAGCACTCCGCACCGCCCCCATCTCGCTCTCTCTCTGTGTGTGTGTGTGTGTAGGCGGCCATTCAGCGCATGTGACTCGAGTGCTCTTCACGAAGGACAACAAGGTGTTCTCGACGGGGGGCAGGGACGCCACTCTCCTTCAGTGGCGGGTGGTGGAGCTGAAGCCGCCGCCACTGCCGCAGTAAGCACACACACATTGGTAGAGGGAGGGAGAGAGACCTGGTGCTCGTCTCGTCTGTGTGCCTGCCTGTGTGTGCAGGGCCTCCTGGGAGTCACCTGACCACCACCCACCACCAGCAGCAGGAGAGCAGGTCCCTCCCGCTTCAGCGCCCCGTGTCCCATCATCAGGCACGCGCCACGTGCTGCAAGACGCCCTGCACCCACACCGACAGCCACAGCCACAGCCATACACACAGACAGAGCCGCCGCCACAAAGGCAGCAGCAGATGGAGAGAGAGGAGAAGGCGGAGGGGAAGGGTTTGTCGTTTGTGCATCCGCCTTATGCCACGGCGCCAGCACCAGGGGTGGGCATGGCGAGTCTGAGCCCTGCTGGGCCGCTGGAAGGGCCATCAGGTGTGTGTGTGGGGGGGGAGAGGGGGAGAGGGGGAGGGAGGGAGGGAGATGCACGTGTCTCATGTGTCTCGCTGTCAGGTCCTGTTGTGGCCACGGCTAGAGGGCGTGCGAAGCTGCAGCAGTACTTCAAAGGTGTGTGTAAGGTGGGCGGGGTGGTGATGATGTGTTTCCTTACAGATCTATGACATGTTGCAGATCACTGCGCCGACTGCGGGAAGGTGAAGGTGGCGTTGCAGCAGAGCGAGACACGTGAGACAAGGCCCGGATGGTGAGAATGCGCCGCGTACGCCCATTTGTGTGTATCGCGCTTCTCTCTGTCTCTCTCTCTCTCTCTCCCTCTCTCTGTGTGTGTGTGTGTGCAGGTACTATAGGAATGCGTCTACAGGCGTAGGCCCGGCGATGAGCGGATTTAAGGCCTCCTGGCAGCAGTTCGCACGCGACACATGACATGACGACTTGATTGGAATTGATGGATCCATGTGACAGATATGGTTTGACACTTGATAATTCCCACGATCAGTCACCCAAAGCACTCCTGCGCAAACCCCTCCCCCAAGCACATGACCAGCACGGAGCGCGATAGCCCCCCCAGCCCCTCAGGCAATCTCTCGTCCGCCCCTTCTCCCTGTCCCCTCTCCCCTGGCCTCCCCAGCCCCACAGCACGTTTGCTGATATCAATGGTAGGGGCTGGTGCTGGTGCTGGTGCTAGTGGTGGCTGTGGTGGTGGTTCGTCGTCTGATATGGTGCTGGTGCGTGTTGGCGCGTTCTCTTGCTGCTGTTGTTGTTGTTGTGGGTGTGGTTGTGTGCATGGGACGATCTTGTTGTTGCTATCGATGGTGATGATGGGGATGGGCGTGGAGCGGGGGTAGGGGGTCGGCTGCAGTGCATTCACACACACATCGACGGTTGCGTCTCTCTCTCTGTGCCTCTTTCTGTGTGTGGCTCGTACCTGGTATGGTCTGATGTCACTGATGCCGTGGGCGAAGGCTGCATTAAGAGAGAGAGCGAGAGAGAAGAAATGTCTCTCACACACAAACACAATGCCGGCCGTTGTGTGCTCACTGTTCACTGCTCACCGCATTCGTCGCCATAAGTGCAGGAACCCTGCACACACACAAACAGACACAAAACGAACAGCACAGACATACCCCCACACCCTCCTCCCCTCCCTCCCCAGCACACCCATCTCTCAAAGTGGTGGCACAGCTTGGTCTTATAAGCGGGGTGCACCGTCCGCTGCTGCTGGCCCGCCAAGCCAGCACACGCCAGATCCTCCCCCATAGAGTCGTACTCCTGGCCGAGGAACCGCGGCCGCGGCGCCCATGGGAACAGAGAGGGCGGCAGCATCGTCCGCATGGCGGGGGACGAATCGACCTGTGGGGATACACACACATACAACACGTCCCCCTCTCTCTTTCTGTCTGTGTGTGTGTGGTTCTCCCTTCCTACACACCAGGAGTTGTGTGGTGAGCGGGCACTTCTGCATTGTGGCGAGCAGCTCGTCGACAAAGATAGCCACGGAGGGCGGAAGGACGGCCGACGTGGGAGTGGTGGTGGTGGTGGAGACAGGCTGGGGCGGGGGCAGGGGGCGGCCCTCCGTCACGCGACACAGGGAGGCGATCTGATCACATCGCACACACGGAGAGAGCACAGACACACCGACACACCAGATGGAGAAACACCGAAAGACACAGCAAAGGAGAGTATGAGAAGAGACCTGCTCCCTCTCCCTCCCTGCCGCTCCCACCTTGCTGCCCATCCGCCGCCAAGTCAGTCTCGGCGCCTTATACGTCAGCCACTCCATCGCCCGCAGCACATCCGCCGTGTTGTCGGCCGTCAGCGCGTCCGCCACCCCGGCCGCCTTCTCCAGCACCAGACGCAGCGCCTGAGGGCGGACGGTTGCCGGGGCGTCTGAGAGGTCCACCTCTTTGGTGTCGCTTTCCATCATCTGCCGAGGCAGGCGCATGCAGACACACACACGCAGAAAGACTGAGAATCCTTATGAAGAGAGAGAGAGAGAGAGATTGTCTTGTACTATGTCTGGGGACCGCATACGTTTGCAGTGTGTAGAAAGCTGCGCAGGCTGTGGCTGGGCATCTGCAGTGGCGGGCAGCCCTTGACCTTCACCTTGACCACCGTCACAACTTGCTGTGGTTGAGCAGCAGCGGTCTGCAGAGGCGCGGTGACCGTCGCCGGCCCGGGCGGCTCTTTCTGTTTCTGCGGCTCACCACCACCAGTCATCTTTAGAGCACGGGCTACACTACACACGGAGAACCGGCTCAACATCTCACACACGGCGCCAAAAAGGAAAAGGACAGCAATCCGGCGATCTGCGAGCTGAGAAAATCTGCCAGTGGAGTCTTGACAACTCAGTTCCCTGATGCATCAAGGGGGAAGGTCTTGTTGAGGTAAGAAGGCACGAAAGATGTCCGTCCATCTCGACAAACACGATGTGCATCTGATTCATCTGGAAGCAGGATGTGACGCTCTCACCACAGCTGACAAACACCATGTGAAGCGCCCGTAAGCATACAGGCGCACGGATGCACCAACACGTGTCGGCTGGCATCTTTTGTGTGTGTGATGTGTGGATGTGTCTGCAGCCAGTCTGCAGCCAGCCGAGGCAAGATACACACGATGTGGTGGTTGCTCTACTATGTGATCGGTATCCTGCCGCTGGTCGCCTCATCCCAGCCACAACCGCAACCACAGACAGAGGCCATCCCCGTCTCCCTCCCTGACGCCTTCCCAAGCCCAGCCATCGACTGCCACACCCATCAGCATCACCGTGACCACACCCACACCCACACACGCTCCCCCGGGCTCGTCAGCTGCGTGTTCCCCCTCGGGCCTATCGGCGCGGCACAGTGCGCGAGGGCCATCGTCGGCACCGCTGTGGGAGACGTGTTGGGCGGGTCGGTGCCTGGCTTTGTTGACGTTGCCAGAGGGCTGTGTGGGTGTTTTCCGGCTGAGGCTCGTGCAGAGAGGGGGAGGGTGTGCGAGTCGGCGTATTGCTGTATGAGCAGTGAGTGAGTGGGGTTGGTGGGAGGGTGGGTGTTGGCATCGTGTGTTGTGTTGATGGGTCTCTCTCTCTGTGTGTATGTGTGCAGCCTTGATCTGTGGGAGCGGATTCCTTGTCGAAAGTGAGTGGGGAGACCAACGCACTCGTTAAACCATCCATCCATCGGTATCCTTCTCTCTCTCTGTGTGTGTGTCCGTCAGGGTGCGCCCATCTCGCCAATGCCCTTCCTGGCATCACCGCGCCCCGGCCTTCAGCTCTGCCCCCGTCCACTCAGTCAGCCGACCTCTTTCTCACCGACCTGACCGGTAGCGTGCCGGCCACCATCCCTGCAGACATCGTCGAGAGGGAGGGGCTGACCTACTATGTGCTCATCCGGCTGTTGATGAATTTCTATGCCTCGCCGTGCAGTGGTGGTGGGGTGGGTGCATTGCCGGAGCCGCCCATTCCTGGCTGGAGGACGGTGCACTTCATCAGACTCATTGAGACGCGTAGGCGGGCGAATGGGATGGGCCAAGTGGGGATGTCTGAGTGTGGAGATGTGTGTGGGTGGATTGCTGCAGCCGAGTGGGACGATAGCGGTTTGCGAGAGACGCCTTTCGTCCAGGTGGTGGCCAAAGAGGACGGCAGCGAGCTGCTGCTATTGGTGCGGGGCACGGTGACACTGACGGAGGCAAGGCTGGAGACCTACAGGCGCCAAGTGGCATTCCTGGACATCATCCATGGCGCCACCTCTCATCGCCAAGCAGACGAATGCGGTCTATGGGGCGGTTGCAAAGCCGTCCCACTCATCCGGGAGGGCTATGGGGCGATTCTGCGAGCGGTGTTCCCCTCTATAAGGCGGATCGTGGATTCTTACGCCTCGACCGCCGAGCGCGTTATCGTGGCTGGCTTCTCGCTCGGTGTGTAAGCGAACCAAACAGACAAACCGCACCCTCGTTGGCCGTCCATCTCTTTCTGTGTGTGTAGGTGCCTCTGTGGCCAGCTACATCGCTCTCGGCCTCGCAATGGCCACCTCACCATCACACGAGAGACACACCGCAGACAACAGCCACAGAATTGACCTGGTGGCCGTCTCCCCTGTCCGCGCATTCAACCAGCCATTTGCCGACCTGATGACCGAGAAAGTCAACCCCCGAACTTTGGTGTACGAGGCCGATCCGATCCCACAGTGGGCCTGCAAGACGGCCGTGGGCTGCAGAGCGAACCAACCGCCGCCTCAAACCGATACCATGGGAACGGTCGAGTACGTCGATTTTCCTGGACGGGTGGAGATCAGGAGAGGCGACTTAGGCGAGCCGAACGAGATGGGCGGCTCGCTGCATGCGTGGCCGGCACATATGTGTGCTTACATATGCTGGGCGGTGCGGCGGTTTGCGGCGGATGATGGTGTGGACTGGTGTCTGCTCAGGGGAAGGGGGCACACAGGGGGTGGAATGCGTGTGGGTGTGGACGAGAGTGAGGGTGAGGGTGAGGGAAGCATTTGTCCGTATAGTGTCGAGAGGCTGCCTCTGCTGGTGTAGGTGGCAGCGGCATTTAGGCGTGTCTGCAAGGTGACTTAGTTGACGGTCAGACTGTGCTGTGTCTTTTTCTGTTGAGGCCTGACAAGACAGACAGATGTACTGATAGGAAGCTTAAGATTCACTCGGCCATTCCACACCTACCTCTCCGTTCATCGCCAGCAAAGCTACATACGTCACACCACATTTACCACACTACCCGAAGGAGGTACCGTCACATTATGCACATTGGCATCACTATAAAGAGAAAGACTCACTACACACACACACACATCAGATCGAGAACAGAGCTCGGTGAACGAGCCACGTCCATGTGCACGCACAAACACACACTCACGCCATGTACATATACTAAGTGAGAGAAGTGCGCAGTAGCCTGCACATCCCATAGACCCACATCTCCGTAGCAAAATAATTAGCGGAGGAAAGTAAGTCATGAGGTCTGGCTGTCACTAATGCCTCACTCACCCTTCGCCTCAATCACCCCACCCACAAGGAACACGCACGCATGTTATCCAAAGCCAAGACGTGGCCACCGGCGGAGCGGGAACACTACTTACTCCACAGCACCAAAGTCACATTATTAACACACAGATTCTGGTCTGGTGACCCAAGACCAGTCACCAGTAGCAGCAAACTGACGGACCGCCAAGAGGGTCGGCAGCACAGCGTCCTTTGAAATTGCCAGGCCCCGAGCACAGAGTGTCTTTGTCAAGCCGCTCCTCAAAGCCCCCCCCAATGTACTCGACGTCGCAACACTGGAGACACACACATACACTCGAAGAATACTCACTCATGGCTAGTGTCGTCCGTGTGTAAGGCCTCTCACCATGTTGTCGCGCGGGCACTCCGGAGTCTCGAATGTCACGGTGTCGCTACACTCTGCGATGGTCATTCTGTATGCCCACTCCTGTAGCAGACACACCAGAGCATCACAACACAACCATGCTGGAGACTTTTTCTTTCCCTACCTCGTACTCCCCGGTAACCACAATTAGGTCCTCCCTGCAGCAATAACCAAGCCAGCACTGACCCCGTTGAAGCACCGTTTCAGAGCCACGATATTTGAAGGAGCACCACTACAAGCAAAATTCACATTTGCCCACACGAACACACACACAAACACGGCTACTCCGCGTGTCCCCTGCGAGAATAAGGGCTCTTTTGCCCACCCCAGGGTTGTCCGGCGTCAGCAAGTTGCCATCATCATCCTGCGGGAAGACCGACAGAGAGACAGAGAGACGGAGTGACATCCCGTCATGGCGACACAAATCAGCAGCACAACACGCACAGCACATGTCAGTGGCTCACGCATCCCCTACCGCAGGAGGGGCAGTGGTGGGCGGTGGCGGTGAAGGAGGATCTGGACGAGGAGGGGTGGCTGGGCGAGGCGGAGTGGTTGTACGAGGCGGGGAAGGAGTGGTGGGCGTCGGTGAAGGCGGAGGAGGAGTGGTTGTGCGAGGCGGACAACAGACATCACCACGGCACTGTCCCGGCAAAAGCACTACGGCCGAGTCGCCCCGGTCGAAGTAGCACACCTGCACACACACACTCGTGTACACACACAGCCGTGCCGCGTGCGATGCACGTGCGTGTGCGCAACGTCAGCTGGCCCACCCCATTGTTGTCGATCAGCTTAGGAGTCGGATCGACCTCGCCACCTTCCTGCACACACAGGGAGAGAGAGAGAGGCGTGGCACCACTCCAAGAATGCCAGTGGCTCATTCATTCCTACCTCCGTATCGTCAGCCAGCCAACAGCGGCCACCACACAGCTGTGTGTGCACCCAGCTCATTGTGATGTCCCCTCCTCCCATCCCTGCCGCAGACTTCAACAGCCACTTTCCCCTGTCGACCGCAACAGCGCTGCAGTTAGGGTGGGATTCGCAGCGTTCCGCGAGATACGCGGCTGTCGTGACGACGGCCAACTCGCGTCGCTCGCCATTCACTTCGCCACTCAAGGACAAGTTGAAGTCGGGGTTGTCGGCCACAAGCACGGTGCCATTCACCTCCACCGCAATGACGGGCACGCCCGGTGCCACCGGCACAACAGACATCGTCGTGTTGAAAGTCTCCAGCAACGCACTTTCCTGCTCATCACTTATGCCTGATTGAAACCCCACAGAGAGGCAGCTCAGCTTGACAGCTGCCCATTACCGAATGTCAACAGGTCTCCTCACCAGTGCTCTGCTCGGGAGCCGCACGAATCCGCTTCGCGCGCGAGCCGCTTCCCCAGTCCGCCCGCAGAGAAACCACCAACACAGCGCTCACGACACCGGCCAGCGCGAGGATGCCGACAACGACCACAAGATCTCTCTTGTGCTCCTGCGCCCACAGAAGGAGCTTATTCCCTTCGCTCGGCAGCTTCGCCAGGAACAGCTTGAGCGACGCGAATGTCCTCCGGACGAAAGACACCATGCGGGCGAGTAGTGAGGGGAGCGACTGCTGCTCCATGGTGCTGTCGGCAAGCCGGCGGGAACGATGACGGAGAGAAGAAGCGGAGAGAGGGATCTTGAAGATGGACCGATGCCAAAAGGAGAGGGGAGGGAAGAAAAGGGGCGCCAGACGCAAGAAGCGAAATAGCCGAAGATCCCGCACGGAAGAAGCGGTCAGGGAGGATGAACGTAGCTTGGCACCTGGAGATCTTGAGGAGGGAACTGTAGGGTGAGAGAAGACTGCACCAGACGCGGAGGTCGCCAATCACGGAGTCCAAGCTCGCACCATTTTCCGTTAACCGTTTGAACACCCCTACATACACTCTCCATATCAAGGCAGATGCGACCTCTCCCCATCCTTCCCGCGGCATGGTCATACCTGCTGGCGTTCCCTTTCCTCACGCCAGCCTCATCGCAAATTGAACCATCCCAAATCCAGTCGCTCCCCCTCCCACTGCCTGGTGCCTTCCCCACCCCTGCCCTCGACTGCGATGCCACACCACAGGGCGTGTTCGGCTGTCTGCTGCCTCTCGGACCGATCGGGGCGACACAGTGTGCCAAGAGCGTCATTCGGGAAGGGGGAATGGGCTTTCTGGATGGTGTGGATGGTGTAGCTGGGCTTGAGGATGTATTGCCGCTGGTTGGAGTGGGGCGGGCGCTGTGCGATTGCTTTGCGGACCAGGGCACCGGTGTGTTGGGGCAGCCGGAGAAGGTGTGCGAGTCTAGGCTGTGCTACCTGACCAGTGAGTTGAACGGACAAGCTGTCGCACTGTTGGGCACACGCCTTCATGAGTGTGTATGTATGTGTCTGTCTTGTTGTTTTGCAGTCTTCATATGTCTGATCATCGGGGAAAGTAGGCAGATGCCGCCATGATGTGCAAAGCGTCCACGCACACACACACACACACACATATACCTTTGTGTGTCCATGTGCCGACTGTGTGTCTGTCAGCCTGTGCCGAGTTCCCCGTCCTTCCCGGTGTGTTCGCACCGAGTCCTCCCGTGCTGCCCCCGTCCACTCAGTCAGCCGACCTCTTTCTCGCCGACCTGACCGGCAGCGTGGCCCCCACCATCCCTGCAGACATCGTCGAAAGAGAGGGGCTCACCTACTATGTGCTCATCCGGCTGCTATACAACCTCGGTTATGGGCCGTGCTTTGGCGTGGCTGCTCTGGCTGAGCCGCCCATTCCTGGCTGGAGCACTGTCAACGTTCTCAACCTCATCGAGACGCGTAAGTACATGGGGAATGGGTGGCAAAGTGGTGTTTGGCTGATTTTGTGTGGATGGATGGATGGCTGCAGCCGAACAAGAAGACGGTGGACTGCGTGAGGTGCCATTCATCCAGGTGGTGGAGAGGGACGATGGCAGCGAGCTGCTGATCCTGGTGCGGGCGACTGGGACGTTCACAGAGGCACGACTGCTGACTTATGAGGACCAGGTGGCGTTTGACGACATCATCGGAGAGACAGCAGGCACTTCTGCGTCCGAGCCAATGATTCGGGAAGGTTTGGGGGAGATTTTACGAGCTGTGTACCCGTCGCTAAGGCGGATTGTGGATGAATCGACGGCCGAGAGGGTTATCGTCGCAGGATACTCGCTTGGTAACAATGCGTCACACACACTGGTCATCCGTGTGTGTGTGTGTGTATCTCTTCATTGATTCTCTGTGTGCAGGTGCCTCTGTGGCCAGCTACATCGCTCTCGGCCTGGCAACGACCTTCCCAGACGACCGAGTCGACTTGGTGGCCTTCGCACCGCCACGAGCCTTCGACCAGGCCTTTGCCGACCTCATGGTTGAGACACTCAACCTGCGCAACCCTCTCTATGAGTTCGACTTCATCGCCAGGAGTGCCTGCAACACGGCGGTCGGTTGCAGTGCGGCCGATGCTTCTAAAACGGAGCTGCAACTTGTCGAGTACGTCGATTTTCCCGCCGGCCGGATTGACATCAGTGAGGAGGATTTGGGCGAGCCCAATGGCATCAGTCCGCTGTCAGTGTGGGCACCGCATACATGCTCTTACCTGTGCTGGACAGTCCGAAATTTCCAGCCGGATGACCCCGTGGACTGGTGCGAGGCGGCGCCAAGTGATGGACAGGGAGATGGGGCCATAAGTTTGGGCAGCATCTGCCCGTATAGCTTACAAAGGCTGCCGCTGCTGTAGGTCGCTGTGGGTGTAAATAGAGTTGGTCAGCTTGTAGAGATTGATTTGATTTTGATATTTGAGAGAAGAAAGGATGCTTGTATGTTATTCTGCTTCTGCCCTTCTCATGTTGTGCGACGTGTGGGAGGGACGTGTAGGCAGAATAAAAATATCTCCTTCCTCAGACTACTTTGTTTACTTTGTCCCTGTGTGTCTGCGTGCGTTTGCGCCTCTGTCTCCCTCCGTCTGTGTGTCTGTGTGTTCGTCCCATGTGAGAGCTCATGGGCAATTCGCCGTGGATGATGCCGTGTGTTTTGTCAGACTCGAAAGATCGCATGCCTTAATTAAATCGTGCTGTGTTTGAAGGGAAAATCATTGAGTGAGAGCATTCATTGGTCCAATGCGTGAATGAATCGAGAGATGGATGTCTATTTGTATCCCCCTTAAGCGTCCCACCATTCGCTCGATACATCATCTATCCCATCCCCATCAGCAATCCTATCGACGGTCGACTGGTCCGTGTAAGGATGTGCATCTGTTTCTTCCTCCTGCCCATGTTCCTTCCTCTGCCTGGGACACATTACATACCATCCTTCTTCGTCGTGCCCACCAAGGCGAGCAGGCAGGCAGTCGGGCAGGCAATACGACGGGCGGGCAGGCAAGGGAGGGACCATCCATTCAATCATTTAAACGCCTCCACGCGCAATGACATCACCACGGTAGTCTCTCTTACTCTCCCCAACCCACCCAACGCACACCGGCAGGAAGGCACGCAGGCAGGCAAGTGGCAGCCAGGCAGGTCCACTCCCTTTCATGTGCTGCGTGCCGTTAGGCTGTTCATGGACTGTCTGATTTGTTGGCCTCCTGTCCCAAAACTACCCCTCTCGCTAGTTGCTCATACTGGCGGGTCGTCAGCGGGGGTTCAACACGGTTGAACCACGAATTGCGCGTGTCGAACGCCTGCTGCTCTCGCTGACAGAGATAAGTCAGCTTGTGGGCCATGCGTTTGACCACATGTCGTCCACCGTGCCGTGGGCATAGTTGTCAGTCTAAAGGAATCACACACGAATCTTTCCACGTCCTCCCTCTCTTTCTGTGTTCTTGTGTTCTCTTCTGTGCTTCTCCAGTCTGCTGCTTCATTGCTTGTTGCTGACCTCTATGAGGTTCTCCGCGGAAAAGTCCTTGGTGTCCGAATCGTAGTTCGTCCACATGTCAGAGAGCGCCGGCCTCTTCTCGATGTATGTGCATCTGCCGTCGTTCGAGATGTGCACAGTGCTGAGCCCTGCCTGCTGCACCTCATAGAAAAACTGCTCGGTAGTGTATCCGACGATGTGTCCTGCACGACACACAGAACAAAGAACAGAAAATAAACCACACAACACACACACGCTCCATCAGAGAGAGTACAGACAGACATGTGTAGACACAGTATACTATGCATATGAATGCTTACGAATTATTCTATTGATAACTGTCTCGCATCGCGGCTTCGATTTCGACCTCGAACTTTGATGGTTCCATTCTGTTGAGGCCCAAGTGGAGGTCGATGTGCAGTCGCTTGCGACTTGCACGCATAGCACTCGAGGACATACTTGGAAGTGCCAATCAGGGGGCAGTCATTAACCCGGTGGCCGTGATACGTGGCCCCGGCGAGCTTGGCATAGTTGTCACAGAAGTCGGGGTCCTTGCGCGTGCGAGAAGAGGCGGCCTGGTGGGCGGTGAGTTATCAGCCGTGTTCTGTTGTTGTTGGTTTGTTGTTGAACGGCTAGCTCGAGACACTGACGAAGTGTCGTTGTGAAATCTCAAGGCCCCCTCACCACAGCGACTCTCGGAACGAATCACGGTCGTTCCCAGTCACTTGACGGTCTGCACATTCAGGCATCGCTTTCACATGTGGCCATCTCTGGTCCTTCCACGTATGGAAATGTCGACTTGCTCGCAGATATGCCATTGCCTGAGCAGAGATTGACACAAAGTCAGACAAATACATGATTTATTCGCTGTTCTCTATACGTATATAAGGCGGCGTATATTGTACATCAGCGGTGGCTCATACAAGGGCTATATGTGGCTCGAGGCAGGCCAAGAATAGGGTCTTCCTTTCGCGAGCGCGACTCGGATCGTGCCCTTGCTGTTCTTGATGTTCTGTGACGTGTCGATGAGTAGACCTTCATTGTTGGTGACCACCCGAGCTAGCGTAGGGGCAGAGACGAGGCGGTGAGCGAAGGCATTTCGCCTTCTGAGTTGACGTCTCCTTTCTTCGACTGTCTCGATTGCCAAGTATCCATAAAGTGCGGCCTGAAAATAACTGTGTGCTCGCCGGATCTCACTTCGCCTGTAATATGCGACTTTAGACATAGACGGTTCGACTAGTCGAGCCCCGTCTCTCTTCCTTCTTGCCATCCTGACTGCATATGGGCGTCGATCTTGGATTTTCGCGTTGTTCTTGCTGTCCTCCTTATCCTTGCTGCCCTTCTTGTCGTGTTGTTTGTTGTCTTCCTTGTCGTCCTCCTTGTCGCCCTGCTCATATAAAACACAAACCAATGGAAAATGTCTATGGGTACCTTTTCGGCTTGCTACGGTTTGTTGGGCGAGAAGCCACCCTTACTTGCGCCGCCGGGGGGCGGCATACAGAGGGCCTGCCGTGGTTTGCAAGCGGAATGAACCCAACCGGCATGACCCGAGATAGGATAGAAATGATGGATGAAGACACGGCGCACAGGTCGATCGATGGGAGCACTCGGAATTGGTCTTGTGACACACATGTTGACCGACTTTCATCAACCCCAAGTACAGGAGCATGGCCTCGTCGAACGAGCGGCTCATTTTGCAGTCATTAAACCGCCGAGAACACGCCCGGTGACAAATGCCGAGATCCATTGGCTACTTTTCTTTCACCTGAAGAGCCGATCTCGGATTTTCGCGTTGTTCTTGCTGTTCTCCTTCTCCTTGCTGCCCTTCTTGTTGTGTTGCTTGTTGTCTTTCTCGTCGTTCTCCTCGTCGCCGGCCGCGGCAATCTCAGAGACGGATCGATGGGATACAGTCGAATGATCTTGTGCTTCTGCATTTGAGTGTCGATGCCGCCATACTTGAACTTGTAATACTTGAACTTGTGATGGTCGTCGCCTTTCGACAGCGTACGCAGATCGACTCTCATCACGTTTACCCGACAACAGAACTCATGCGCCTTCACAGATGCAGGATGCAGCAAAAGAGACAAAGAACAAAGACAAAACGACATCACTCTGCAATCCATCAGCTCACGGGATTCATCGTTGTAGAAGATCCATCGTCATGGAGGTCCCCTGCGCACCAGATTGTGTCTCATCAACGACAAGCTGTCAGCCATGTTGGCGTTCTGCTGGTCGTCATTGATTGCCGGCAGCTGAGGTTGAGCGTGGTCCGACTCGCTGCTGCTCGGCGCTCTCCCTTGGTTGACAGCTCAATCTGTGAAGAACTACAAATACGCACAGCTCAGAGCCTCCCGTCGCATGCATGCACTCACACAAAAACACGTTTGCCTTCCCGCAGTTGCCCTCGCTCGCCTCATTTCCTGTCTACTCTTCGTAGGGGATGATCTTGAAGTAGGCCAGTAGGGCGACCACATACTCGTCTAGCCACAGCGACGCGACGTTCTCCTCCGGCCGCTTCGGCGTCGACGAGAACGTGCTGCCGAACGAAGCGAGTCAGTCTCGGATGTGTCGACAATGGGTGAATACACGAGGTCGGTCTGAGGCCGCGAGGCCAGACCTGCTGGCATAAGCTGCATCCATCCATCAATACACAAAGTCACACACATTCATCCCTTTCGTCCTTCCTCCCTTGTCCTCTCTCGTGTGCGAATGTGTGTGTTTGTGTGTGTGTGTCGATGTTGTCTGCTGACCTGGCTGCCGTGCTTCACCTGAGGTGAGGGTCCTCCTCTCTGAGCCGACGTAGGGCAACGATTGTCTGCACCGCCACTAGTCGCTTTCCATCGCACGCCTTGATTCATGAGCCTGAAAGACATGGAACATTAATGAAACGACGAAGTGGATGAACGTACACTTACCTTTGCCTCGGCTGCCGCTGCTAGGCCATCGGAAACCACTGCTGTTCTGCGGTGCATCCAATTTTTTGGGTGCATCTGTCTTGCGCTCGCGGGGAACACGAATGGCTTGCTGTATCCATGTCTGACTGTGCTGCAGCATCCGTTTCTCGAATTGCTGTTCCAGGTTCTCAAGATGTGCAACGAATACAGCCGCTCTCGTCTCCATCGAGAGCTGCCCTTTGCCTAGCCATGTCTTATACCTCCTCAATCCCCTCCCTTCTCTTTCGGTCCCTGCAAGTTGGACGATGGGTTGGTGGCCGGTGGAGCTCGGGGCGACGTGAGGGCGTCAGCGGAGGCCGCACGCTTCAGGGCGGTGGGAGCGGGTGCCCCGGCCGCCGCCGCGGCCGCAGAGAGGGACGGGCCAGCGGGAAATGATCCCCTCTCTTCCCTTCCCTTCATGCAACATGAATCGGCCCGACTTCATATAGGCCTACTTGATCAAAGAAGGGCTCGAGTGAGCCAGCTCCGCCAAAGTTCTCACGCATAACGGCATAATCGATTGGCTGCAGCTGCAGGGGGGGGGTGAGGTCGACTGATTACCACATCTGAATGATGGGCGCTGCCGCTTCGTGTGCTTCCTGCAAGAACAGGTGCCAAAAACGTGAACAAAGTGTGAGAGTGTATTGTGGCGAGAGGTGTGAAGTAGCGGAGGCACTAGTGTGTGCGCCTGTGTCTTCGGCTGACTTGCCTTTCGTTGACTGCACATTCAGCTGCCCTGGATGCGGAGCGAGGCTCGCCAAAACCACCCGTCCTGGTGGTGCCAGAATCTTCTGACGCCCGGTTTGAGTGCTTTCGACTGCGGCTGCCCCGTCGGGAACGGGTAGAAGAATCTTGGATGCACGGCGCCCTTGAACAGACGATGCGGTTGTTGTTCCTCGGAGAGGGTCAGACGAAGCTGGCCAATGTGTAGCCGAACAGGAATCGCGGGGTTGCAGGCCGGGTGGATTTAAACAGATGTTCAAGGGCGCATCATCTGTTCATCTGACAACGTCGCTAGAATCGCCAAGACTGGACGCATCTGTCTCGTCTCTCGCGACTCTTCGACCCTTCAGCGAGCCATTGTGTCACGTGCAGAGGTTGAGCACGCCTAGAGCGCTGTCAATTGAGTGTCGTTGCTCACCAATGCTCACACGCATCCTAGCCAAACTGTAAACTATTTGCGGAGAGAGACGGTTCGGTTTACATGTGTGGAAGCGTGGGGCATTATGTTTGAGGCACTTCATCCCATTCGGCATCGCGCGCATACATATTGATAACACTTGTCTGCCACACTCACCATTCACAAGTCCATCGGCCGACCGACTTCCTCCAACGCGTATCCTACATACACAGAGGACACGCGGACATGCATGCCTACAGGTAGACTAAAGGCCTTCCAAGACTTGCCCCCTCTGTCCACTGCTGTCGACCCGCCCACCCCCACCCACTAAATCCTTGATTGCATAAATATGACAGACAGACAGACAGCCCATACGGACGTGCATATATGCATCTCACCTTTGCTGATGGACCCTCCCGTGCACCCGCCCACCAAAACACCCACGCGAAAGCAACAGGATGAGTGTGCAATGGCTGAACGGATCAATGGAAGCGGTGTGATGCGATGTGATGTGATGCGATGATCGATGTCATGCGATGTGGTCAGGGAGTGATGCGATGATCGATGTAATGATGAGTGGATGAGTGGATGGCTCAAACAAAGAGGGAGGACTGCACGGAAAAACACCCACCACACACATGTGTGTGTGTGTGTGTAGGTCATTGAAAGCACTCATTTTCACGCCGCAGCTGTGTATATAAAACCATAGCTGGCATACCCCACGGGCGGCACACACATCCGTTAGTGCGCTTATCCGCACACCGATGTGGCCCACCAGAAGGCCCACGCACACACACGCACACGCCCTCACGCCAGGCAGGCAGACGCGTGAGGCCACAAAATGACGAAGCAGTAGGGGGGACAAAGACGCTCATTATTGACAAAATACCCATCATCCATCGATCCATCCATCCACACAGCCACCTGCCCCCTTTACTGACCCACCTATACTCTCTCTCTATCTCTCTCTGTCGCACTCACGTCTACCTACTTGATGCAAAACCCACCCTCCCGACCGCCCAAACAACAACACCGTCACACACAAAAGGATGGATGGATGGATGGATGACACACAGCATCACACACTGCACCGCCGCACCACCACAGCATCATCATTCCTCTGCACCCCAGCTCGTCGTCTTGGTCAGCTCGTCGTTGCTCCGAATCGACTGACGCGGGTCATAGTGGGCGTTCTCATCACCGCCGCCGCCCCCTCCCCCTCTCCACTTGCCAGAGCGCACAGGCATTGACACGGAGGGCACCTTGAACCGCACAGCCTTGTTGCCGTGCCGGCGCACTTGCAAGGGCGGCGAGTCCTGGTGCAGGTCTGCTCTCGGCTGGTGCGTCTCGTTGTTCTCCTGGCCGGTTTCAAGTGCACTGGCTGGGTGGAAAGCGGGCGGCGGTGGGGGGACGGAAATGTCAGAGAAGGTGGTCGTGTTGTCGTTGTCTGCGGTGGAGCTCGCGGCGCATGAGTCGTCGTTGCGCATGCCGCTTTGCCCGAAGGCGTCGTGGTCGTGGTCGTGTTGCGAGGGGACTTTGCAGTAGGCGCACAGGAGGAATTTGCGGAGGGAGCGGCCGCAGACGCAGCACCACAGCAGAGACATCGCAAACACCAACGCGCCACCGCCCAATGCTGGCACACACACACACACAGAGGTTGAGAGGGAGAGGGTCGGTTCTACAAGGTCACTGGTGCACGAGCTGACCTCCATAGAGAAGGAATAGCCATTCCTGCGTGTTGGGGGAGCCGTTGCCGTCGCTTTGGTCCCCTCTCCCTCTGGTCAGGTCGCTCGTGCGCTGCTGCACGTTGGTCCACTTGTTGTTCTTGTCGGCTGCCTTGTAAGCGGCTGAATGGCCACTAGCAGCCAGTATGGCAGCGCTGGTGGTGTTGGTGGCTGACCACAGAGCACCGAGAGACAACAGCGTGTCTATGTGTTTATGTGTGTGTGTGGGCTAGGGGGATGGGCCAACTGACCGTTGTGTATGCAGTGGACGGCCGGCTGGTCCCACAGCAGTGTGCGGTAGTTGGGCAAGAAGCGACAGAACATCGACCCATTCTGCACCGATGGCCTGACACACACCCACACCCCAACACGCGAAATTGTCTTGCGAGCCATGTCAGCACACAACCATCCGTGTCATGCGTACGTGAGCGGTCTCCATCCGTTCTCCTCGTCACACGCGACCGTCATGGACGCGCCGCTGATGGCCTGCCCGTCCTCGTTGACGCGCGTGGGCGGCTCGGCTGTCGACACAATGCCGGCAAACGACTCGTTGTTGCCGAGCGGCAGATCAGGACACACCGCTTCACAGACACACACACACACACACAGAGAGAGAGAGAGAGAGAGAGGGAGAGAGAGATGGGCGCGCGCAACACACACACGGTGGGTACCGACCAGCGGGTTTGGCAAAGACGTCGACGCAGATGGACGGGGAGTCTCCCTGCTGGGCTGTCGATGGATCGGTAACAGCAGTGAGGTTGCGCAAGGCCTCGCCGAACCAGACTCGTAAGCGATCGCCCTCATGCAGAGAGAGCAGGGTGGGCGAGGGGCCCATGTACGCCTGCACACACACATGCACACACGCATATCTATGTGTATGTGGCTGGCTGTGTGAGTCTGCGTGACGCGCTTTGCTGTTTGCGGGTTTACGTCGAAAGTGATGTGCTGATCGTTCCAGTGCTGTCCGCTGACAGTGTACCAGGCCTCGCCGCACTCACGGCCCACACAGTGAGACGGCACACGAACTGCATGGAAGAGCCACACACACACACACAGACACACACACACACACACGCAGTGAGAGAGAGAGATACACAAATGTGTCTCAGATGCGCTTCCACACCCGTACCTGTGTCGCCAGTCCATTTCTGGTCGGGCAGGATGATCGCGTCATCGGCATCCGTCAGGAAAAGTCCAGCCTGCACGCACCAAACACACACCGAACACAGACATGCAAACACATGGAGACCCCCGGCCCACCCACACTTACGATTAGCTCGTCCGACTGTCCGTCTCCGCCACTGGTGACATTGTTGCTGCAGATGCCGCCCCATCTGCTCCTTGTGCCGTCCCCGAGGCACGCCACATCGCCACTCACATGGGACAATTTGACCGCATACACGTCTATCACGTCCTGGGAAACCGTGAAACGAGCTGCCACAAAACCAAACAGAGAGAGAACACACACACACACGCAGAGAGAGAGATGCATGGCTCAGTCGCTCACGCGCACACGGACTTACCAGGCTCGTGTGTGTGTGTGGGCACACACACTGGCCCCTGGTTGTTGAGCTGAAGCCACGGCTGGCAGGCCGAAGTCACGCCGTCACACGACTCGGTGGAGGGGCAGTCACTCTCAACCACACAACCTTCCCACAACACACACACGGGGAGGGAGAGAGAGATGGCCAATGCCATGGATAGATCTCTCTGTTGTGTGCCGGGAGGGGAGGGAGAGGGTGGCCACGTACCAACACACATGTGTTTGGAGGGGTGGCACTTGTCGGTCGGCCACGCGCATCCCTCATCGCTGTAGCACTTGGGCGTCGCGTCAATCGCCTGCACCTGTGCCTGCGGCTGCCAACCTGCACATCGTGTTGTGGTGTGTGTTGTGTGTTGTGTTTTGTGTGTTGTGTGTTGTGTGCTGCAATGCGACTTGCGTATTTACGTGTGCATCTGAGCGAGATGTCTTCCCAGATCGGCTTCCGGTAGCTGCTGCCAAACACGCA